CTTAATAGAAGGCCCGGGCCTTATATTAAGGCTATGATTCTACTTCGATATCGGCGAACCTGGAAAACACTCACGTAAAATTTGACGCGAGAAGTTCTTTTATACCTCAAAAGCTTTCAAATAGTGTGTATCTATCCCTGTGAATAGGGGACCGTTCATTTGCCTTACAGAATATCCGCATTTTGGTTCCATTTTTGTCGAAATTCCTACGACTTGGGAAGCTCAGCAAAAAAACAATTTTATCCGCTTAATTATGAACGTCTCGGATAGTCAAAACTGAAGGAATTATGGAAAATAACTGAACATCAAGTTTTGGTAATTTATCAATGTACAAAAATCTTTTTCATGTGAATGGTAAGATTTCGTCATTTTTGCGAAAAAAAGACTACCTATTGGAAAATTAGACGTCTTTTCGACAATGTATATCATAGATCCCTAATAGAAGGGCCCCCTAAATAGAAGGCCCCCCTAAAAATTTTGTTTGCTCCACCATTATAGAAGACCACCGGGCCTTTTAATGCGGGGGGGGGGGCGGTTAGAAATAAATCATTGATGTAATCCCAACAGATACTGAAAATATGGGAAGTCTTCTAGAAATACTTCTATTTATTATTCGTTCTAAAATGTGTGTCATAATATTTTGTATATATTATTAAGATTATGTTTTCTCAAGCTACTCAAGTGCATTGACTACTAGAAGTCCTACTTTTCGTCCACACGGACGATTCAACTTATTTTACTATGAATCAATACAAATTGTAGTACCTGTCACTGGCTATTATGTATTTCAAAGCAGCAGTAATGTTGATACTTATGGTTATCTATATGGAGATAGTTTCGATCCTTTTGCTACTGAAGTCAATTTACTCACAGAAAATGGTAACAATGTTAACAGTGGTCAATTTTTCATAACATTTTGGCTACAGTCTTATCGAAAATATGTGTTAGTTTTCACTACATATAATCCACGCATGATAGCAACCTACTCAATTATTGCAGAAGGTCCATCAAGTGTTGATTTTAGTCCCGTAATATCAGCATCATCAAGCATAATTAGTAAGTCTATTTTAAAAGATGCTTTACGAGGGAACCTCCGAAGATTTTATTGGTATATCAGTTTCTCTATTAACAATAAAATAGATTATAACGAATGAGTCGAAAGGTTTGAGACACAACGTTTCTTTATTTTAAGACCAATTCAGAGTGTGCATGTTGGTAGTCTATTCATCCACATTCAGTCTAGACTTGATCAGAGAACAAAAGTTTTAATCGTTATCTCAATATTTGATATTTTTCGTCAACCCTCTGAGCCGGTAGAAGAATCAAAGAATATGTATTTTGTATGAAATCATTCGATCTATTCTCTCATTGAAATAGAAATTGAGTAATGTGATCATTTTGCTATAAATACTATTGAAGACAAGGGGGAAAGTGCAGGTTTCAAGCACCAAATTATGCCGATGGTGCTGAAAAGGTGCTGAGGTGCTGAGAAGGTGCTGAGGTGCTGAGAAGGTGCTGAGGTGCTGAAAAGGTGCTGAGCAGGTGCAGAGGTGCTGAGAAGGTGCTAATGATGGATAGGGATGCAACGGTGACGAAAACCGTAGATACGGTTACCGGCTTAACTACGGTAACCGTAGCTACAGTTACCAGTCCAACTAAGATGACCATAAATACCGTTACCAGTCCAAGCCCGTTTTCACGAACGAAAGAGTTTTTTAAGAAAATAACGATTCTTTATAAAGGTTGACGAAAGTAAATCGGGGTCGAAGAATCCGAATCTGTAGTTCGTCTTCCAATCTGAGTTTTCATTGGTTAGAAAATGGACCAATCAGAAACGAGCTTTCTTATTTTGAGGCTTTTCGAGCTTTTGATAAAACTTTGCAATAGGTTATCGATATCGAGGAATTCGAATCTGAAATCAGTTATCATATTTGAGCTTTCATTGGTCAGTAAATGGGCCAATCAGAAATGAACATTTTTATATTAAGGCTTTTGAATCTTTTGATAAAATTTTGCAATAGATTATCGATATCGACCAATTCGAATGTGAAGGCAGTTATCATATGTGAGCTTTCATTGGTCAGTAAATGGACCAATCGGAAATGAGCTTTTTTAAAGTAAGGCTTTTCCATCTTTCGATAAAACTTTGCAATAGGTTATCGATACCGAGGAATTCGAATCTGAAGTCCGTTATTCTGTCTGAGCTTTAATTGGTCAGAAAATGGACCAATCAGAAACGAGCTTTTTTATATTAAGGCTTTTCGACCTTTTGATAAAAATTTACAATAGGTTATCGATATCGAGGAATTCAAATCTGAAGTTAGTTTTTCAATTTCAGCTTACAGTGGTTAGGAAACGGGCCAATCAGAAGTGAGCTTTTTTATATTAAGACTTTTCGATCTTTTGATAAAAACTTTGCGATAGGTTATCGATATCCAGGAATCGAAATCCGAAGTCATTTTGTCTGTCTAGGCTTTCATTAGTCAGAAAATGGACCAATCGGAAACAAGCTTTTTTCCCCTCCACTGGAGGGAGGATCATATGAGATAAAATGAGTTTGTGACCTCGCAGTCATTGGGATAGTAGCGCATTCAGATGTATTAGCGTGATTACAGGTTCGA